CTTTGACTTCCGAGGTAAGCCACTTTGGACATACTACTTGCAGCGCTTAAATTCAGTGACGCAAACTTTGTATGCGACTGTCAAAAGTCCAGAATAGACCACCCACTTAAGCGTCTTCGTATAGCTTAGCTACTAACATAACTTGCCCTTTTTAGGCATTACTCAGTCTTGCTTTGTAAAAGTTGCTTCATTTTTTGCTCTTCGACCAGACAAGCGGCCGCTAAAAGTGCATTTTCTGACGTCTTTTGCTTTAGGTTAGGTATTTTAATTAAAAAAGATTTTGTATCCCATCTACGTCTAGAGTCCGGAAAGTTGGTCCTCGCTGACGCGGACGCAAACTGCCGCCACTAGGTACTGAAAGTCCCCTAAATGTGGAGACCTGCCTTCACAAACTGGTGCAAATTATCTCTTAATCAGCTCATAGTTTAGTATTCAGCATCAATTAGCCCATTTCAAAGTATCCAGTCGACCTGATCAAGAAGGAACTAGCGTAACCTAAATGAATGGATGAGGGGTTGTGATGCGATCATGGAGGTGGACCGGAATGTGCATTAAAGTTGGGGTCAAGGTTCAAACGGAAAGTTGAAAAGGATTAACTCCACCCCGAAAAATATCCATGGCCAAGCAGATTTGACCGCATAGTCGCACCGGTAGACGGACATGCGTACCCATCAGTGGACACCCAGTGAGGGCTTTTGGACCTTTGGCTCATAACGATTGCAAGAAGGTTCTAATTCGAGGGTTTAACGCCTTCTTTGCATTGTAAACTGATTTCCACCCTTGGCTTTCAGCAAACGCCACCGTTTCACCAACAGCCTGATCGAAAATGTTCCCATCATTTTAAGTTATCCAGGGAAGGAGAGGGGATTTAATAATTTGCTATCTACACCACTTGCAGATATGGTACAAAGTAAGTAAATTAGCCTATTAATGTCTAAAAATTTTATGTTTCACTTCAGCGCTTTTCAGCCACACAAAAAATAAAAATTTAAATCGCATTTCAAATGGGCAACTGACTTACCAAAAAACGAAGTTATGGGAAAATCTGCCGACATTACAAGTTTATTAAAGACGTTTTCTGCTTTGTACTTTTCATTTTAGGTAAATTTTATTAATGGTGCGAATTCCATGCCGATCCACTCCTGGTCGATCCACCTCATTACTATCTATTTACTTCCACCTCCTTAGAAAACAGAATTTATTTTCCATTTCCTTCACTTGAACGCCCTTTTGTAAGGACAAATAAAGCATTATGTTTGTGTCCGCGGGAATTTTAAGGGTCCGCGACGCATAAAGTTTG